ACTAAACCAGCAACATTTGATATCAACAACTAAACTATTACATAAAAGTATCAGTTTTGCTGTACAGTGTATAACTCTGCACTTTGAAAGAGCTCATTAAGGTATTCAGACAGTATAAATCTGGGTTATAGTATATGTGAAACATTTTTGGTTTAGAAGCCCAGAATTCAAGTTACAGAAATGTGAAACATGTTCCCTGCTTTAGCGACACTGCTTGACACCTACTTATATCTTGTACTATTGAAATGTTTCTGCATATTATTTTTATATTGCTGGGTTTGAAAAACAAGGGCACCACTGCTTTTGCCCAGCTTGCTGTGATATTTTAAGGGCGGCCCCATGAAAGATAGTGGGCATAAACTTGAATAATCACCCTGGTCTTGGCATCTGTCATTGAAACCAAGCAGCTAATTCAACAAAAAGTCTGATCCCAACGGACTAAAACAGCAATATTATTTTGATATCAACAACTAAACTATTACATAAAAGTATCATTTTTGCCGTACAGTGTATAACTCTGCACTTTGAAAGAGCTCATCAAGGTATTGAGACAGTATAAATCTGGGTTGTAGTATATGTAAAACATGTTTGGTTTACAAGCCCAGAATTCAAGTTACCATCTTGCACCCGTGATCACCAAAATTTTCAACTATGGCCCTTATTAAGTGCCAACACTTTTGGCTTGAGCGACTAGACCGAGATGCAGCTTTTGTAAGAGCCTTCTCATTCGATTTCAGTAAGGCCTTTGATTCAGTCTCCCATTGCATTCTATTCAGCAAGCTGGTGTCGTATGACATCAATCCATACATTAAGAACTGGATAATAAGCTTCCTGTGTGATCGCCGACAGAGAGTAGTGGTTGATGGGGTGGTTACCACTTTTCTCAACGTTAATAGAGGGGTTCCCCAGGGAACTGTGCTGGGACCCTTACTTTTCTCTATCATGGTCAATGATATTAAACCGGTCAGCCCCCAAACCCTACTGATCAATTATGCTGATGACATTACAGCAAGTGTGCCTGTCACAACTGGCCCTAATCTTACAGATTTATCACATTATGAAGTAGAAAATATCAAACCTTAGGGGGATAAAAACCTGATGACACTAAACATGAAGAAAACCTTTGAGATGGTTGTTAAAGGTAAAACCACAATGCCCCTTCCAGAGCCCGTGGACGGAATAACCAGAAAAAAGTGAACTAAACCTGCTAGGAGTTACAGTAAATGAAGATCCATGTAACTGGGATGTTCAATTTGAAAACATGCTGAGCAAAGCAACTTCTAGACTGTACATCCTCAGAGTCTGTAAATACTATGGCTTTTCACTACAAGAACTTACACTGCTGTTTGACAGTCTAATTATGTCACTTTTCACTTACGCAATTGAGGTGTGGGCTCCTGCCCACTACAGTAAATATCTCTCTCATATTGATAAGTTCTGTACGCGAGCTTTACGTTATGGTTACACCAGCAAATACACTCCCATAATGGATGTAATTAAAATGAAAGACAGGCTTCTTTGGGACGAGATAACCTCTGACAGCGCAAATCCATTACATGAACTTTTACCAGCTCAGAGAGCTAGGAGCCTCAGGAAAAGAGGACATAATTACAGCCTGCCTCTAGTTAGAACTGAACATTTTAAACATTGCTTTTTAAATAGATGTCTTTTCGAATTTGTGTAGCCACTTAGTCTTGTATATACATAATGAATTGATATATGTAGGAAATTGTAAGTCCAGACGTTTTGTCTCAGGTCATGTTTCTTTTATTTTTTCCAAGTCAATAAAGATCTTATCTAACCTCTGGAACCTCATAAAATCCAAGTTAAACTTCATACTTTTCTTAGGTTTTTGTTTTCAAAAAATCAACTCCGTGCTAGTCCTTTTAAATTCCAATCTTTTCTTGTAGAAGGAGCATTGAGATTTTCTGGAACTAAACTTGAAAGTAAATGTTTATGAACTTAATGGTGTGGGATACCATACTGGTTCCAGTACTCATAACAAAAATACACAGATAAGACATCAGTGTTCTTGTGGTATTTCAGTACCAGGAGTTTTTCTACACTGATAACCACCTCACACCTCTCTAACTCGTCAGAGATTCCTAAAACCCTTTTCAGAAGCTTGGTACGGGACATGATAGCACAGTCTACGTTCATTTTGTTAAAAATGAAAACTGCCTTCCTCGTATCTGTAATGGAAACTTTGATGTAGGCTAACGTTTCCTCAAACCGGTGACCGAAATTGTTACTTTGAATGATGTGACGTAAGGTCACTTCAAATACCTCAAGTGGGACGTCCATTGTAAAATCACCCCTCCATGACGTCGCTAGACTTGGTTCAGATCGCAGCCTTCTAACGATCTTGTCATGAATTTTCTTTAACATTCGAAGCACCATTCCTTGGCTCGGCAGGAGCTGATGTATTTCTCAATCTATGCTTCGTGACACATTGGACGCGTACTTTTCTTCTAAAGTGTTGACAGCTACCTCAAGTTGGGAATAAAAACTCCAAATTTACCTTATCCGTTTGAGACGTATATCGCCCCATATTCCGGCGCAAAAATCTGTTTATTTCCCTCGAAGAGGGATTCTCTTTAAGAAAACCTTCCGCCATCTTGAATTTTACCAAAGCCCACAAAAAAGAAAATCTCCCATGATATATCGCGCGCCTCTGAGCAAACATTTAGGGGGTGGTTGGCCCCTACGTGAATACATGAGGTTTTTTAACAATGTGAAAGGACTGCTATATACATCATGTTATGTTGATTTGTTATGCCATCATTTTGATAATAAATCATATTTGACTTGTTGTTGATTCCTTCAGTGTTGTTTGCTTTTTGTGGAACGGAAATTGGAATGCACAGAAATACATGGCCCTTTAGAAATGGTTGCACAATTTTATGTAGCCCCCCCATTTTCAAGTGCACAAAAAGGTATGACCCCCATCTCATTTGCACCAGCCCACCCCACCTCCCATCTAATAACTGACCGGTTCTCTACACATGCTGGGAAGCCGTCGTTTTTACCGGCAAAATCGTAACCGCGGTTGTTTAACGTGGAGGGTAATATCGTTTACTTCAATCTGATGTTTCAAATTTTGTTCACAAACAGGAAAGCTAAAGCTGTAGTTAATGAGACTTACGAATTAAATCTTCATGGCAACTCTGAGAAAAATTAAGTCTGAGTCAATTGTTTTGCAGTCGACAAAGTTTCTTCTTCAAAAATACAATATTGTCATTTGCGGATCTTCCATCGACTATTCCCCATAGATTGCATCCTCAGTAAAAAATGATCTTCGGCACAGTTCAGCATAGAGAGGTCTTCCTGAAGACAAAGAAAAAAAGCAGAGTTTTAATGTGTCACTGAAATCATTCATCGTCTAAAGTGACAAATTTAGATATTTTGAATTTTAATAATGTGTACTATGACGGCTGTTGGCCAAATGGCATTTAGCTGTAAGTTATAAATAGAAAACTGTGTTGATATTTATAAAGAGATAATGCACAAATAGACCTCTTATGCAAAAAGGAAGTTGTAACCAAAATACATAATTTCACAACTTTAACAGTGAGATTTTTAATGAAAACCACAACTGAACAACTTGGTAATTTTAGTACCAAGCTAACTCCAACACCTTGACCTTTCATTGTGTTTCAGTTAATTTTTTGCATCCTGTGTAATGGCTTAGGGACAAAATGATTACTTAATGTGCATAATGTCTTTTGCAATTTAGTGCCTTTTAAATAACCTAGTATATTATATATTGTTAAAAACTAGATCATTGGATAATGCAATTCAAGACTTTTAATTGGCTTAGCCATTATGGTATATCAGCCAATATACCATAATCTACAAATATGGCAAGTTTACATGTCAGCTTAACTTTAAAAGGGAGCTAAAAGTTTAATGAAATTGAATAATTTAATTTAATGTTTTTAATAAAACAATTATTCCACTCGCGCTTGTTGGATATGAGATGATTGTAGCCAACTCAGCACTACGCGCCTCGTTGGCTATCTATCATCTCATATTCAGCGCGCAGTCATGGAATAATTGTTAAACATTCACTCTTTAAGTATATTATATAACATTCATCTTAAATGTCAAATGGTAGAAATAATCGTTCCCCTTTTTTCATAATTATTTTCTTTTTTGCCAAATTATTGCTGAACAACTGTGGAGGTAATTTTTTTCATCTAAGAAAATATGGTTCTGTTTGAAGCAAGTGTACCATTTCTTCACAACAGTGCAAATGCATTGGACTTACAGCACCTGCAATACTAAGCATGAATTATTTTCTTTCTCTTAGGGGTAGAACAGGAATCATCCTTTTAAATTTGAAGCCTTTTATGAGGTCCTCTGTCAATATGGCAAATGGGTAAATGTATAGTCCTTCTATGACCAAAATATTCATAAATGTTATTGAGAATGAGGTAAGCTCCATAGAATTTGATTTTAGGTGGAAACAAACAGTGATCATTAGGTGAATGAACTAATTTTAGAAAGCAGTATGGCACTTTCTGGTTTTTCCCCCTCCCCCTATGTTTTCTTTCAAGGTGGGGGTTTCAAAATTTTGAAAATTATACAGTAAAACCATCATCTCAAGAAGCAAGATAATTTGACTGGTAAGGGTGCCAGACCCTGCTTTGCTATTCTTTAAATTTTGACTTTAAAATATGGCTGGTTCAGTAACCAGGACTTTTAAGAAACAGGTCCCAGGGCACAGATCCAGAGTTCTAATTTCTAACCAACAAACCACATGCACTCCCTTTTTAACTTGGCAATTTTGCTAACCTAGACTGATTTCCTTTTCCTTGTCAAACATTAATTCTAAACTTGACTTTTCAAGCAACCTTATTACTCAAACCAGTTTTGTTTTCCTTTAACAGGTTGGATTCCTCTATGATATCTAATCCCTTTCAAGTTAAAACAAATATAAATTTCATTTTTTTTTTTGCACCAGTTTCAGCTTGCAATGAAAGCATCAACAACTGTTCTTGCACTGTATTCCCTGACTTTATTAATACTTTTAATTCTGAATTATTATTTATAATTTCCAACTCTATTTATTTGAAATCTACTTCATTGCAATATAGCTACTATAATTCAGTGGACTTTGCTAAAAGAGAAATGATTTTGACCCCTAAACCACAAAATGAATCTGGACAAACTGACATACAAGGCCTCTCAAGGACCTAATTAAGCTTCAAACATGACTCTGTGTAGAACCCTAAGTAGTGGAAAACAACTTCAACATGTTGCGATAAATATGTCTGATTCACTGATGTAAGGGGCATTCTCACAGGACAGTGGCTGTTCACATTTTGGGAATGTAGCAGTTGTAAAATATTCTTAGGGAAGTCTGTAAATGCCAGTTTCTTAAATATTTTAAATAATTTTTATAACTTAACCACATTGTGTAAACTGCTATTGGGCAATTGTCATACTCTTGGAAATAATTAAAACTGAGTAACCGATGTGTTATTCTCACATGGATACAAAAGGTTCAGAGACAGTAAGATTTGAAAAACTCAAGAAGACATCAGAAATGTTTGGTTCTTCTGCTTGTAAGAAACACAGAGCTCTTCCTTGTCCTTAAGCCTCATTTGGCCATTTCAATCCCAGGGGTGACCAATAAGTAATTTCTCTGTATGGTATCTGCAGTACATTGATCAGCAGAACGGTGATGAGAAGACAAAATGAATCAGGAAATATCGCATGATTGATCTAAAACCAAATCCTCAAAGGTAAACAGTGAGAAGCATGTAGCACAGAGTAAGGAAAACTGATATTAATGTAATTAAGTGACATGTTTTTGGATCCAATTTGACTCTGCATTCTAACTTAAGGTCTTGAGTACAGAATTATAAATAATACATTATCCACATGCAGTCCTGAAGATTCATCTGTCTCAAACACTAGCTGCAATAGTTGTGGAAGCTTTAAGACTATGCTGAAATTGCAGGCAATTGAAACTCACAAATGAAACTAAATGGCAGGTTAAACAGAACTTAAATGCAGTAAATATCTCATTAAGAGTGTTATTTGTATGATGTTTTAAATTTACAACCACATTAACTTACAATAATTAATCTTTATAAATATATTTTTCAGGTATTGACACTCGACCAGCCTTTATCTATTGTTCACAGTTTGTGGCATGTGCAAGAAAAGTATAAAAATTTAAGTATCACTGTTAGTCTTCCTAAAATATCTTAAACAAAACTTTGTGGCGTAGCTCGGTGCTGTTAGAGCACTGATGTTGCAAATTTTTTGTCCACCTCATAAACCACATGTGGTCGTATGCGCCTCATTGTTCGTCCTGGTAGACAGTGTGGAACGTGGCACCAAGAAGGCATGATATCCAAGCAAGCTTCTCGGAATTTACTGATGCGAATGTAATAAATTATGGGCTTCAGGGTAGAGTTTAAGTAGGCTATTAATACAACCACAAGATCGGCTGTGTAAGACAATGACTTTTCATATCCTTCAAAAAGCAAATGAAAGCGGATCATAGTGAAAGGAAAACCGCAGATCACGAACAGAATAAACAGGATTAATATGGTGGTGAAAGCCCTTGTCTTGAAACTGTAGTCGATGTTCATCTTGCCTGGTCGGTGCATTTTCGTCATCACTCCACCAGGTACGGGTGGGTGATTTTGAATGCGAGTTGAGTTCCTTCGAACGGTTCTTAAAATAGACCCGAAGCAATATGTCATTACAAGTAGCGGAATTGAAAATGTTGCAATAAAAAAGAAAAGACCGTATGATAAATCAACGGCGTTTCGCCTGGGCCATTCCAGCGAGCACTGAATTTGACCCACCTCATAACCATATTTACCCCAGCCGAATACAGGAGGCAAAACTACCACAAAAGCCAAAATCCAAGAGATCACGATGTACATTTTCGCCTTTCGAGGGGTGAGAGTGTCTTTGCGTTGAAGAATTATCATGAAACGGTCCACTGATATAGTTATCAATACGAATGTTCCTTCTGTCACCAAGAAGCTAAACAAAAAGGCATTTATTTCACAAAATATATCGCCAAAAAGCCACCTCTGAGCGATCAAGGTTACGATAGTAAAAGGCATACACAGCGATGCTGTGAGCACATCGGCCATCGCTAATGTCGCCAATAAGATGTTTATGGCTGATCGCATAGCAGGTTTTTGATAAACGATGTAGCAAACGATCGAATTTCCCAATATACTGACCAAACACATCAAAATAAACAGCAAACCAAAAGCTACCACACATGCTGTTGAAAATGGCATGACACTCGACGAGACTCGACTTAAACTTGAGGAACTGGTTGCACTCGGGTGTCCACTTCCACTCGTTAACTACACATTACTGCTCGCGTTGGGTATATTTTCTGTGTTGTTCAACATTACCTGTCAGCGGCAGGTTTTCTGTTTTAACGGCAGTAATCTCTTAGGTTCCCACTCGATAAAAAAAATCGCCGCTTTGGCAGCGTAGAGATTCGTGTGAGAATACGGACCACACAGGTTACTATCTGAGCTCGGCGTTCAATATCTCGATGGAAAGTCAAATTAAAAATACCAGATCGTTGGTCCTTTGTAACTTGATGTTTGTCTTTTCCGCTTATTTAACCACTGTCAATGGAAGCTAAGTTGCAAACTTGTACCGCGTAATTCTGATATCATTTCAAATAAAACCATGGCTACAGTCCGCAATTTAAAGATCTCCCGTTTAAATCAGGAGACAGCAGATGTTCAGTTGTATCGTCGGAGGATCACCGCTGTCGCCAACGGAAAAATGAACGTTCAGTGTCCTTCCATCTTATGAGCGAAATTCTACCTCGTCAAAGCTTCTGAGTGCAGTGCAGCTTTTTCTTGACGTGTTTCCATTCAAACGAAAGTAACTAAATTGAATTTCGTGCACATGTACGTACGGTTACAATATTCACGTCCTTCTTGAAAGCGATTGGAACCTTTACATAACTTTGAGCCCGCAAAAGTACAGCGGCAGCATGGAAATTTATTTTCTTATTATGTAACGTGTAATTAATCTGTAACTTCTTGATGCAAGGTAAAACTGAATTTAACTGAGTCTTTTTCAGCTGTACAGCAGCTTTTCCCTACTTCTCCTGACATGAGGACGATTAGAATGACGGACTGCTGGAAGAGTACGATTTATTTTATGAGAATTTTTTTGTTTGCTATTTTATTAATCCTTTGTTTCCTTTTTCCTTTCCATTTTCTCAGAGTGCGTTAGTTTTCGAGGAACACGTAAGAGAATGTTACTAGCTATTTGAGTTTTATCTATGAAAACACGATGACGTTTAAAAAAGTCCATTCCTCTCCTGCCACCCCTCCCCCGCCCATCACCATAGATCCCGCGCGGAAGATCTGGTGAGCAGTTGTATCAAATTTCATGCAAATTAACAAGACTTCCTGTCAACGCTCGAACTACCAAATTTGTGGCTCGCATTTTCATGCTTTTAACGAACAAATGAAATGTTCTGGGTGGTAATTGACCGTTGAGGAACTGAAACTGTTGTTGTCTGTGAGATGCAGTGCCCATTTTGCCAAGAAGAAGTTGGCAGTGAAGACGAATTGCAGCTTCACTGTTTGGTCTGCACATCGGCCTATGCAGGTAAGGTTGTCATGTGTTTGATAAACTTTTGTAGCTTGTGTTACGATGCGTTAGAACTTGAATATTTTGGCCTGCAAGAGTAGGGTAACGAGTTATTTCATTAGGAATAAGGCAATTGAAGATAAAGGCTGTTTAACTTTCGTTTTATTTACGATTTTACAGATTCTGTTAGCGCTCCAATTGTTCCTGGAGTGGACAGTGTTGTTGTTCGTTTTCGTTGGGTAAAATCGAGACCATGCATCGAGAGAGAAGTTCACCTCATAAGCTCGCTGGTAAGTTTTAAAAGCCCAAAAAGAGATTTCTAAGTGTCTCTGTAGGAACAGAAACTATTTTGAAGTGTATTGTATTAATCTTTTCTTTTGTTTCGTTACTTTGGTAATCTGATTTGGAAGATATCCGGAAGTTAAAGTGAAGAAATTGATTGTGCTTCTTTTGTTTACCTTTCAAAACGCGTTTCGTTGTCTTGAGTTGCTGTCTCAAAAACAACTTTTCATCCGAAATAAACTGTTGTTGTTTCTCTAAAAGCTTAAGCAGTTAATTTATCTCGTATTGGTTTGAGTTCTTCTATCTAAGCATTTCTCGTCTCTGTACCAGCTTGATTGTGTAGTAACAGCATCTCTCTGCGAATGGATCTTTGTTTTCTTTCCACTTTCGATTTCCCCGTTTCAACAATCTTGCTCCAAGCTGTTAGGCTGAACTCGTCTAAACAATTTTCAAGTGGCGAGACGTGTCTAACGTAACAAGAAGGTTCTTCATAAAATTTTAATGGCGATGTTTTGTCGTCGTAGAACTGAACAAATGACTTCTTCAAAGTTTAACGAGCCAGTTAAAAATGGCAAATGTTTATTGAGTTTTAGGTTAGATAAGTCAAATTTTCTCTTTGTGATTTTTCATTAGCATGTGGTAAATGAGTACAATTTCATAGTATAAATACAAAAGCTTTGTATTGACTGGCGTTTTTAAGTTAACAGGTTTTATTTTAAAAATGTGTTCTTGACACGGGCTTCAAAGCATGGATGGGACGATCAGCGCTTTTAACAGTAACCTAAGTTTCTGCATCAATTTTTTCGCTTCAATAGGCTGGCTCTGTGACTCTGAGAGGAAAGTTTGGAGAAGGATATTATGAGTCAGAAACTGTTGGGGTCCCAGTTGGAGAACACATCTGTCAGCTTGCTATTGGTGGTGATGTTATTTCCACTGAACCGTTTGAAGTCAATGCAGACAGTGATGTTATTTTTGTTATACCTCAAGAAGGTAATGCATTTCCACTTGGTCACTTTCCTAGTACAGGCGCAAAATAAGATACCTTGGAAGTGCAACCAAGAAAAAGTTCAAGATATAACGGTGATCTTGAGGTCTTAGTGAGCCCAGTATAGTTGAATTATGCAACCAGTAAGGCTGTTTGATGCTAGAATAATGAATTGTTAATTGAAGGTAATATTAAAGAATGTGTTTGATTACTGTAATCATAGACGAGCATTTGCATGACTTCGAAATAGTTAATGACCCTGTAACTCCTTGAAGTGATTAACATGTAACTTCTCCCTTTTAATATCTATACATTATCCAGCAAACAGGTAATGAGAATACTCAAACTTATCAGATAGAAGTTGTTATCTTGATCTAACACCACATTCTCATAACTACTTTACAAAGAATTGTATAACAATCAGATCTTGGGTGTGAAAGGGTGAAGAGTTTGATCTAGGAACTCACCTGTGTCTCCAAAGCAAGTAGTATTATTATACATTCCCTTGCATCATACCTGCAGACAATAGAATTTATATATGTAAAAGTGATGTCATACCTACAGTCAATAGTTTTATGTCCTGTTATCTTTACAAGTGCAACTCAGGAATATGCATAATAAAACAATTATTGGATTCGGTTTTCACATGATAGTGATAATTATCAAGGCCTTAGTTTGTGTCATCTGCCTCAGCCCTCAGCTTCAGCAGATGTTGCAAACTTTAGCCTTGATAGTTATCGCTATCATGCGAAAATCGAATCCAATAATTGTTCATTATGACCAGTCCTTCTTGGTTAGATCCACCACAGGTTTCACTTTCTAGGTTCCACACACAGTTCAGGTGGGAGATTAGGGTGACCTTATGGTTGGTACATATAGTCTCTGGGTCAAGAGGTCTGGGTCCAATACCTGGATGGGTCAATGTGTTGTGTACTTGGGCAGAACGATTTATTCTCACAGTGTGTATCTGCCCCAAGGAGTATAAGTGGGTATTGACAAATTGTCAAGGAAGCCTGATGAAATGCAAGGGGGTTACCTTGCTATGGGTTAGCTTCCCATTCAGGGAGGAGTAGTGATACTCCTAGGTGGGGTGGGTGGGTAGGCCACTTGGCTTTAGTACAGACTTTTCCTTTTCTCACCATTCACAGAGGGATCCATCTTTTACTCCTTTGATGGAGAGAGAGCTGCTCTTAGGGTAAAGTTACTTCATCAGAATACTGCACAGTGTTGTGAAGCTCAATGGTCTTCAGGCAGTAGGCCATCATGTCTCTTACAGGCAGTACTAATTCTAATGTAACTAATTTCCAGATCCTTGTCAAAGTGAATTCAGCCATTTGACATTTGGTGAACGTGATAGGAGAGCAAGAATTAGCACTGATGAAGTGGGCTCTCCTCGACTTGAAACAGAACCAACAGAAACCGGTCACAGACTCCTACATCTACTTGGTAAGAAATGCTTACTGATAGTAACTCCTTGATTTAGACTGTGAGTCATCAACTTGCAGCTTCCTTTGCCAAGATTTATCATTTTAAATAACTTAAATATTTTCATTAGTGGAATGAAAAGTTTTCTTGATATTTTTTTTTTCTGCAGATATGGAAGCAAGAGAAACAAGAGAAAATACAGCTGAAGTTGAGAATGAGATGAGTCCACTTTACAGGGAGCTACTTCAACATCAGGTGAGCACAAGATCATTCATCACTGCTGAAGACCAGTCTCTATTGAGGTGTCTCTTAAAATTTTAAAATTTTATAGGGCTTGTTTTTTCTGTTTTGATGATCAATTTGTATTTGACATTGTTGTCTGTTTGAATTGACGAGAAACCATATGCCTGAAACTAATTAAAAGCTCTCAAACACTGACAACCATGTCATGTTCATGATCTTGATATTAAAGATAATTAAATTGCCTGAAACACTACTTGCTATTTTTGATAAATGTTCTTGCAAGTAACAAAATACATTACAACTTTGAACAAGTGGAAGTCTTTTAGAATTTCAGAGCGACCTGAAGTTAGAGATTTAACTCATCCAGTCGTAGTTGATTTACAGGTTCTACATTCAATTTGACCTTTTCCTTTTATGATTTGGACATTTTCTCTGTTATCAACTAATTCCAAATCTAAAGCCAACTGTTGTCATGTATTCCAAGGGCCTTAGTTCAGTCTGAGATTTGAATGCTGATTGCAACTGTTGAATCAGAATATGAGATTGATGGTATCCTAACCAACGTACAGTCTTGAAAATTTATCTATTGAAAATAGTTTGTAGGCTAATATCTGTTCCTGTCATTATGAAGAGTTAGCCCGATAAACTCCTAACACCTGAGCGCAGTTTAGCCCGACTGCCTAGGTACAATCCTCAACATACACTTCGCTCTAGTAATGCACCTTTGATAGAAATTTCTCTAATGAAGGGTACTTTTCAGGACTTATCAGTAACTTTATTACATCCATTTTGAAATCACTGGTGGTCCCTGTAATCTGATTGGCTTTAATTGGTGCGATTTATTCACAAATCACACCATTTTTTGCTCTAAATCGCATCATTTTATGCTTGACTGAGTTTTTGACACATGACGTCAGTCTTTCTGTTTTACATACAAAATAAGATGTAAAAGCGTTTCCGATTCCGTTTTTTATTTAAAAAACTGGCTCAGTACTGCATCAGTAAAATAATTATTTGAATTGATCGACCAAGTCCTGTATTTGGGCGATTTCAAAATGCATATAATAAAGTGGTAATTGAACCTTGTGTCATACAATTTTGGTCTGAAATCATACTTGTGATTTCAAATTGAACTTGCACAGGGCGCTCGTTCGATTTTGAAATCACACATATGATTTCAGCCCAAATTGCACTCCTCTCAGTTGAATTACCATTATTTATTCAATGCCCTACCTGCAAGTGTGAATTAAGCAGTGTTCAGAATTCAATATTTTCAATTTAAAATAATTGTTGTACAATTCTTAAGCACAGAGCAAACATGCATTTAACCTCATAAGCTTTCTTGATAAGGTTTCCTAGTTATGGTCTCTCATGATATCTCTAGTATTTTAGATTATATTGTTTTAACAGTTTTTAGTGCTTTATGTGAGTAGTGAATGCTTCTTGAATAACATCATGTAAGTCATTAGTTTTTAGTTAGTATGACAGATGTAGAGCTACCATGTAGAAATACTGTCAATAAATCCTTACTATTACCTGTTATTATTAGTATTATTATTATTTTTATGATAGATTATTTAAAATTATTATTTTTATAGTAATTTTTTGTTATTATTCTTTTACGTTGAACTTTTGAAGACTTTGCATTTCCTTTGTCAAGAGACTTGAAGTAAGATATAGACAACCTAAACAGGACATTATAATTTTATTATTCATAGCCATATAATTATGTAGTTTAGGTTAGTGATATTTTTCTTTAAAGGAGAATTGTAACTTGCAAGATTTTTTTTATTTTTTTATACACTTTCATGTTAGATTCGATAAAGGTTATTTCTCACATTATTATTATTATTATTATTATTATTATATTATGTTGATGAAAAAATTGAGGAATGGGTTGCACAAGTAACCAGACTGGCGGATTCACTACAACACAACCTCAATCTAGTTATGCAGCCTTTGTGTTTGGACTAAGGCACCGTTGGACATATCTCTTAAGAACTCTGCCAGGCTTAGCCCCTTTCTCGAACGGCTAGAGCGTGCCATAGCAGATTTGCTTGTGCCGGCTATCACTGAGCATGCTACCACAAATGAAGAACAGGATCTTTTAGAACTCCCAGTTCGCTTAGGCGGGCTAGGGCTAATCAATCCAGCCAGAACCGCATCACAAGAGTATGAGGCGTCTGTTAAGATCACAGGCCCTCTTGTGCGGCAAATTATTAAGCAAGCCCAAGAGCCACCAGATGAGATGGAAATTAAGACC